TTTAAGGTATAGGATAGAGATTCTGAAAGCAAAACCTCAATTTCTCAACCAATTCATCTTTGACAAAGTCTCCAACAACAACCACTGGGGAGAGGAGAACCTATTCAGTAAATGGTGCTGGGAAAACTGACTGACCACATGAAGAAGATTAAAACAAGACACCTACCTATCACCATACACAAAAATCAACTCTAAAAGGATCAAAGGCCTAAACGTAAAACCTCAAATTATAAGAATCTTAGACAATGCAGGAGACACCCTTACAGAAATTGGAATAGGCAACCAATTCCTGATTAAAACCCGAGATGTCTATGTCATAAGAGATAATATAGAAAAGTAGGACTTCATTAAACTGTAAACCTTCTGCAAAGCAAAAGAAACCATCAAGAGAGCTGGGAGATTGTCCACAGAATGGGAAAAAATATTTGCTAACTGTATCTGAAAAAGGTCTAACATCCAGGATCTACAAGGAACTCAATTGTGCCGAATGGAAAGAAAAAAAAAAACAACAACCAGCCCCATTATAAAGTGGACAAAAGACATGAATAGACACTCCTCAAAAGAAGAAGAATGGGAGCCAACAGACACATCAAAAAGGGCTCAGCCTCACTATCAGAGAAATTAAAATCAAAACCACATTGAGATATCACTTAACCCCAATAAGAATGGTCATGATTAATTAAACAAACAACAACAGATGCTGGCGAGGATGTGGAGAAAACGGAATGCTTCTACACTGCCGGTGAGAATTCAAACTAGTTCAACCTCTGTGGAAAACAGTGTGGCAACTTCTAAAAAAACTAGACATTGACCTTCCATATAATCCAGCAATCCTCCTACTGGGAATGTACCAGGAGGAACTGAAATTATTCACAAAAGAGATATCCGCAACAAGTATGTTTGTTGCAGCACTAATCACAATAGCAAAAACATGGAACCAACCATACTGTCCATTGAAACTGAACTGGATAAAAAAATGTGATACATATACATAATGGGATATTACACAGCCATAAAGGAAGACAAACATATGGACTTCACAGCAACTTGGATGAATTTAGAGTCTATCATACCCACTGATCTGTCACAGAAACAAAGAACTGAGGACCATGTTCTCATTCATAAGCGGACCCTGAACATTTACCATAATATTATAAGAAAGGAAATGGCAATAACGAGTACTGCCGGGGTGGAGGGTCATATCAAACCAGGAAAAGTGGTGACCAAAGGGAAGCCCAAATTTTATCTGTATGACGTCCACTTGTATATCTAATCCTGAATTGTACCCCATCTTTAAAATAAAATATTTATGTTTTAATAAATCTAAAGAAAGAGTTACTAAAACTAACAAGCAATTGGCAACATTACAACACACACAGTTGCTTTTTAAAATTCATTTGTATTTTTAAATATTAGCAAAGAACGATTAGATATTAAAGCAACATTAAAGTATCATATGTAATAACAACAAATAACATCAAATATATAGATATATAGTGAAAAATATGTGCACTTTTGTATGCTGATAAATACTAAACATTTTTGACTGATTCTGGAAAGACAGACTATAGTAGACTAACTGATAGACTGATAGTAGAAAGATATACTATGTTCATGAGTCAAAAGATCTAATATTGTTCAGATGTCAGTTTTCCCAATTGATATGTAGATTTAATGCAATCCTAATCAAAATTCCACATAATTCCAGCAGGCTCTTTTTTCTACAGAAGTTGGTCCTAAAACTAGAAACAGAGGCTAAGAATATCTTCCTCCCCCAAAAAGCCCCACAGAACTTCCAAAAACAAGAACATACTTGAAGAACTTGCCTTACCTGATTTCAAGATTTATTATAGCATTACAGTATTCAGGATAATGTAAAGACAGATAAGCAGATCACTGCAACAGAACAGCAAATGAAGAGATAGACTCAATATGTATGGTAAAATGAGTTTAAGCTATAACATTCACAGTGCTACAATTGTTTAATTTCAGTTATGCGGCATTCTGAGAAAGGTAAAACTAAGAATGTAAAACTGTCAGGAATTAGAAGGCAAAGGAAATAATTGATTTTGAAGAATCAGGCATAAACATTTTGGTGTGAGGAAAATATTCCATTTTTTAAATTATTTTTTATTTTAATTGAGTTGTGACAATTTGTAAAAATTTTAAGCAATGATTGAATATTTGATAATATTAATGAATGAATTATTTTAGAATTGTGAGCAAAGATGTGATGTGAAATTGTGGCTATATTTATAAATGTATGTATTATCTTTTAGATAGATACATTAAGATACAGATGAAATGTATAGTGTTTGGATTTTGCTTATACATAATCTTTTGTGATTATTGGGGGAAAATGGATGGCTTACAAAGGAAATACATTGCTTAAACTAGGTGATAGATGTAGGAGGGTACACTGCACTATTCTAATATTGAATTTTATTGAAAATTTCCTAACCCAGATAGATAGTCATTTTTTGAAAATTATTGGTCATGCTTTCTAAACTTGAAAAAAACAGTAATATTTTATCTTTATGCTCCAACAAAATGTATAAAATACTGCCTGATAATTGTTTGGTGTATTGAATAAAATAAAGCTAAAAAAATTTACTAGTACATTATTTTATAACAACATTAATAGGTATCTATTATTAATGACTTGTATTTGTATAATCCTTCACTGAAATTTAATGACTTTTAATTACACTAGACTGTTATTTAGCATATGAATAAGATCAATAATGCAAGAAAATAAATAAGATAACATAGAACAAAGCAATAAATGAGTCATTTTGTCAGTGGAACAAACTGATATTTTACACTAATGCCCTACAGGATATGTTAAAAGTCTCTGCTGAGCTATAGAACAGAAATATAATGTAACTTACAGATGGCTTGAAGTCAAAGACTATCACTAAAAATAATTTTTAAAAAAGACATTTAGTCTTTTAAACAAAAATAAAAATGAAAAATAGGAAAGTTAAGCGATTTCCTGCAATGTTCAACAATTATTTCTACTTAATTATAGCAAATACATTAATGTGGCAATCATATCAATAATAATCTCAGTTAGTGATTATGCTGGTGTCCCTTTAAATTAAGAACAGACTAGGTTGGGCAACCCCTGGGTCCCCTCCCACTGTGGGAGCTTTTCTGTCCTCTCTGTAAATCCTGCTTTCTAAAACAAAAAAAGAACAGACAATGTTTACTATTAGCTTTAAAGAGTCTCAGAAAACATTATGGATAGATATTATTATCCATTAAAGGGATTATTGTTTCTTAGGAGAAAAAGATTTTAAATATATACCCTATTCAATAGGTGAACATTTTCTATTTTTATAACTCATTACCCTAAATTATATTAGATCAGATTTATCAATCAAAATGAAGCACCATTTACATGTAATAAAATAGTAATTAATGTTCCCCCAATTCTTATGAATAATCATTTACTGTGGACTCTGAGAAGACTTAAATCTCTAGGATATTAGCACTTATAATTTTGGATGTATTTTATTTCTTGCAAATTCTTGAAAATCTTGAAAATTTAATTGACTATTCACTATTTATAAAAGGATGAATGTTTAAAAGACAGAGTTGTTAAGGAAAAGTTTATTATCTATGGCTGTAAATGGAGTTCCTTATTGAAGAGTAATATTTTGTAAGTATGCTTTCTTGCATTGCCTATGTAAGTTCTAACTTTTTCCATAAATCTAACTTCAAAATTTGTAAACAGCTAAATTAGACTGATCTGTATGATGTCTTCTGAACCGATATCACAAAATATCATAGACTGCATACATACATGCACATTTATATATATATATATATATATATATATATATATATATACACAAACACATTTTATTTTAGAATTATGAGGTACATGTGAGGATTTACAACATAAGTAAATTGTGTGCAGGTTAGGGTTTCTGGTGAGCCCTCTTTCCCCCTGATAGTGAACCTGGTACCCAGTGTGTGGTCATGTGCCCCTTGTCCCATCTCCCTCACTCCCTCCTTTAACATTGTCTAGTATCTATTGTTTCCACCTTTGTGCTCATGTGACCAGTGATCAGGACCCAATTATTAGTGGGAACATGCAGTTTTCAGTTTTTGCTTTCTGGGATAGATCACTTTGTATGATGGTCTCCAACTGCATTCATGCTACTGCAAGGGATATTATTTTTTCTTTTTTGTGGTTGCATAATATTCTATCATGTACATTCCACATTTTCTTTATCCAGTCCACTTTTGATGGGCATCTGGGTTGTTTCAGTTTTTGCTATTGTGAATAGTGCTGCAATGAACATACACGTGCAGGTGTCTTTTTGGTAGAGTGATTTTTGTTCTGGGTTTATTCCCAAAACTGGACTGATGGATCATATAGTATTCAGTTTTTAGTTATTTGAGAAAACACCACACTGCTTTCCACAAAAATTGAACTAGCTTACAGTTCCACCAAAAGTATAGAAGTGTTCCCTTTTCCCTACAGTCATACCAACACTTGTTTTTTTGCTTCTTAATGATAGACATCCTCATGAAAATGAAGCAATGCCTTAAATGTGAAACCTCGAACTCTAAGATTCTTAGAAGAATCTTAGGGAATACCCTCCTGGACATCTGCATAGGCAATGAATTCATGGTCAAGTCCTCAAAAGCAAATACAGCCAAAGCTAAGTAATGACAGGTGAGACCTTATCAAACTACAAAGATTTTTGCACAGCAAAAGAAACCATCAAGAGAACATAAAGACAGCCTATGGAATGATTAAAAAATATTTGCAAGCTATGCATCTGACAAAGCCTCACATCTGGAATCTACAGGTAACTCAAATGAATTGACAGAGAAAAAGAAAAAAAAATTAAGTGAGCAAAGGACATGAATAGAGACGAATCAAAGGAAAACATTGAAGCAGCCAAAAAACAAACAAACATGCTCAGCCTCACTAATCACCTGTTAGGTGGTATCTCATTGGAGTTTTGATTTGCATTTATCTGATGATTAGTGAGGATGATAAGGATGATAAGGATGATGACATCGACCTGTTTGGCAGCGACAATAAGGATGGGGACAAGGAGGCAGCCCGGCTGCGCGAAGAGCGGCTGTGGCAGTATGTGAAGGCCAAGAAGCCTGAGCTGGTGGCCAAGTCCTCCGTCCTGCTGGATGTCAAGCCTTGGGATGATGAGACGGATATGGCCCAGTTGGAGGCCTGTGTGTGCTCTATCCAGCTGAATGGGCTGGTCTGGGGGAGTTCGAAACTGGAACCTGTAGGCTATGGCATCCGCAAGCTGCAGATCCAATGTGTGATGGAGGATGACAAGGTGGGAAAGGATTTGCTGGAAGAGGAGATCACCAAGTTTGAGGAGCATGTGCAGAGTGTTGACATCGCAGCTTTCAACAAGATCTGAAGCCTACACATGTGTGCAAGTGTGTGTAAGGCCTAGTCATGATTAAAGATTGAATCTCTGGCAAAAAATAAAAAAGATTCTTACAGTCTGAGGTTTCACATTTAAAGCATTGTTTGATTTTGAGTTAACTGCTGCATATGGTAAGAAGTTGGGGTCCAGTTTCACTGTTCTGAATGTGGTTATCCAGTTTTTCTAGCACCATTTGCTAAATATGATTTCCTTTTTCCTCGGCATTTCCCAATTTTTTTTTTGTTGGCTTTGTCCAAGATGAGTAAATAACAACACATGTATTGCTCACAATTCTGAAGTCTTGGAAGTCCAAGGTCAAGGTATCGCACTCTCAATATCTGATAAATGCCCCCTGCTTTATAGATGGTGTCTTGTTGCTGTGTTTTCACATTAGCATTCAAGACTTAATCACCTTCCCAAATTCTCACTTCTTAATACTATTTCAGTGGAGATTAGGTTTCAAAATGAGAATTTTGAAGTAGCACAAACATTCAAACCATAGCATATGAATTTAACCATATAGTCATAGTTTTCTCATATATAATAAATCAAAATTAAAATAATTTTCTGACTTCAGGTTGTCTCTAGAAAAGTGAGAAAACAACGAACAAGAAAAAATAATCAACATGAAAGTACATTAAAAAACATGAAAGTAAATTAACAGCAATAATAATAATAATAGATAACAAGTAAAGAGTGCTTGTAATATACCAGCATAATTTTAAACATCTAATAAGTATTAACTCATGTAATACTCACAACTCTCCAGTGAGAAGGATGATATTATTATCTAAACTTTTCAGATGAGGAATATAGGTTTAGAGAGATTCAATAATCTTGTCCAGATAACACTAAGGCAAAGTGGAACTCAGAATTTAACCCAAGAAGTTTGTCTCTAGAGCCTGTACTTTTAACTATTTAGTTTTTACCAGGATTCCCCAGGTAGTATTTGGAAAATGTTTTAACAGAATATTTGGCATATAATGAAGATTCAAAAAATTTAACCAAAGTAATAATTGTTTAGAAAAGAACTAAAGTACATGGCATTCACATTAAATACAAATGTAATAGTAGAGCAAGAGAGGTAGAGTTTAACTAGAGCAAATAAGGATTTTAAAGATTTCCCCCCAAAACTGTGACTTCTATTGCTGCTCATAGGGAAGCTGGAAATTAAAAGATAAATTTAAAGGTTCAAAGGCAAAGATGATCAAGGCAACCTACTTTCAACAAATCTGAATAAACCTTTGCCTTGGGGTCTCAACCCAAGACTATTAATAGGTCCTGGGTCAGGAGAACCAGTTTTTCAAAGTTCTGGACCAGTTGACAAATAAATAAATGAATGAATAAATAAAACATTTTTCTCCTTTAGGCAAACAAGAGTAGTTTCAGCTGATTTGGGAACTTCAAAGATTCTTTGTGACATTGAGATTTTGTGATAAAAGGGTACAGATTTCTTTTTTTCTTTTTTCTTTTTTCTTTTTTTATTGAGTTGGAGTCTCACTCTGTCGCCCAGACTGGAGTGCAGTGGCCGCTCCCGGCCACCGCAGCCTCGACCAGCTGGGCTCTTGCGATCCTTCCGCCTCAGTCTTCCAAGTAGCCGGAATGACAGGCATGCGCTACCACGCCCGGCTGATTTTTTGATTTATTGTAGAGATGAGGTCTCGCTGCCCAGGCGGGTCTCGAACCCGCGGGCTCAGGCAATCCACTCACCTCAGTCTCCCAAAGGCGCGGGGTTACAGGCTGAGCCACCAAGCTCTGCAAGGGTACAGATTTCTAAGCCTTTTAAAAGAAATGGCTCCACCAAGGATAACTTTGATAATTTTATTCTGTGATCTTATACTTGTCTTTTCCTTCTGAGTCTGAAGTCCACTTGCATAGCAGAAGTAGTGATCTCACAATTCTGATAAATAAAATGCCTACTTACAATGGTTGCTACAATCTAGGAAGCAAACATGAATTTAGCATATCTGCTTTTAGAATTTGCTGGACCTATAGAAAGAATACCAATAAAGCTCATGTATCTGGTGTCCAAATATTTTAACTCCTATATCAGCATTATTTGAATTCAAATGAAATTATGAATATGTACAGTTGTTTTTGAAGATCTAATTAAATATTATATATACCTTGATACAAATTAAGGGGCTTACAGTTTTTACATGTAGCATCCACCCAGTCATCCATGTCAAGAATCAATATTATGCTGTTTATACTATACCTGTACTTACATATATAAAAATATTTGATAATTATCTAGGTGAAAAATGTACCTTAGCTGCTGAGTAACTATTGGGAATATATTGCTAATTCATGAGTAGCACCAAACCACAAACAGGAACACAAAGGAAAGGCAGGAATTAATTAATATACTGGGAAGTGGTACTTTGTTAAGCAAGAATATAGTCCATTCACACCATCTGAAAGGAAAAATTTGTCGTCTATTTATTTGTGTTTTACTTACATAAGGAAGATACTGCTCAAGTTCTGACTACAATTTAAAACAATGTCTGTCTCTATCCTGTAAACCTCCATAGCATTTGAATGCTGCACCATTTGTCTCAAAATACAGGTTAAGTAAGTTTACATGAAGTTCACTGGGGTGTGAATGCTATTAGTTGTGAGAGCAGAAGTTTAGGATTACAGATTGCAATGTTCTAAAGCTGAGTACTGCCTTCCTTAGAGATAAGTATAAATTTTTTTCTCTAATTTATTCTGTGTATATTTTTCTGACACGCAAATTCCACCAGTGCTGGGCCTGTGGGAAAAGTTCCGCTTGCCTAAGTGGGAGGTCTATACAGACTACAATATGAAGGGGAACTCCAAAAAATGAAATTTATTCATTAAAAATTCTGTATTTAAGCCGGGCTCGGTGGCTCAGCCTGTAATCCCACGCCTTTGGGAGGATGAGGTGAGTGGATTGCCTGAACCCGCGGGTTCGAGACCTGCCTGGGCAGCGAGACCTCATCTCTACAATAAATAAAAAAATCAGCTGGGCGTGGTAGCGCATGCCTGTCATTCCGGCTACTTGGAAGGCTGAGGCGGAAGGATTGTCGGATCCCAGCAGTTAGAGGCTGCGGTGGCCGGGAGCGGCCACTGCACTCCAGTCTGGGCGACAGAGTGAGCCTCCAACTCAAAAAAAAAAAAAAATTCTGTATTTATTTTTACTCTTTTATATTTCAATCACTTTTAAAGAACTTTTCGTTTGATGCAATACACCTATCAAAACACCTTTTCCATTGCTCAAAATAGTTTTTTGAACTTGTCAATCTTGGTGCCTTTTATTGCTTCTGGTTTTGTTTTATTTCACTTCTTCCATATCAGCAAATGTGTTCCTTAGAAGACTTTTTTTCCTACAGGGAAACAAACAAACAAAAAAGTCGCTCTTAGCGAGATCCAGTAAATAGGGAGGGTGGGGCATGGGATCATGCTGTTTCTCATCAAAACTGCTGAACACTCAGCTCAGTGTGGGCAGGTGTGTTCATAAGTCACCCATCATGAAATGGGCAAATGTGTAAAAGATAAAAATTCACTGACAAACACAGTCTCTCATAACAACACTAGTTAGTACACTGATGCCAAAGGGTTTCTAGAACACTTACCTAAAGAGGGAAGCCTGTATTATAAGAAGCCTGCCCTCCAAAAAATAATTTAATTTTTGGGGGTGCACCCCTTGTATAAAAGTAAGGAATTAGCAAATTATGTAGAGACAAAAAAAAAATACAGTGATGAGCTTTGAAATTTATGCAGATGATGCATAACAAAGAAGACAATTGAAAACTAGTTTGTTTGTTGAACAAAAGAACATTCTAAAAGTGACATAAAAATATTTGCTAAAACTCCGTTATAATAATATTTCTAATCTTTCTAATGATCCTTCAGATGGTGGAAATACTTTTCAGTTAGTTATACAAACATCTGATTCAAATTTCTTTGTGAAACAGAAAATCAAGTAAATAAAATTTTCCCACATTGGTAACCAGTCATAATTAAACTGGGATTTGAAATTACCTGGTTTTTTTTTTTAATTTCATAAACTGCTCACCATATCATGCCTTTTTAATGTCATTTTTAACAATCTTGATAAAACATTCAAAAAGTCTTATTCTATCTATCTGGATGGAACTGCTTTATTTGGAGTAATGTTTATTAATAATACAATGACAGTGTGCATTTTATACAAGTTTTGATACAAAAATTTCGATATCTGCATTGACTGTTTTTCTCAATGTTTAACCAACTAACAAGTCCAGAATATTGGGCTGTATAATCAGAAATTTTTAGTTTATAAGCACAAACTACTCTCTAACATAAGATGAGGGATGAGTGCTGTAACTTGAATACAAAGTTAAGGTATTTTTTTTCTTACATTCCTACAAAAGGTGAATAATTATGCTAAATGCGCAAAATAATTCTAATTTTCACTAAAATAAAAGCAATGTATTATGAATGTTCCTTAAGTATAATATTATTATTGCAGTCTACACTACACCAGAAAAAAAAGCGAATGGCCCAAAGCATTCAAAATAGTACTCCATTCACTCACTATTAAAGAAATGCTAACTAAAATAATGAATCTCATTCCTATCTACAAAATTGCCATGAGTAATACGTTTGAAAAAAATTGTTTTCGAAATGTCTGTAGAAGAACAAATGTGCTCAGCATTGTTGTTAGACCAATGAATAAATATATTTGGAAGACATTTTGGCAATACATTGCAAAATATAAAATATTTCATACCTTTACTAGGCATTCTATTTCTGAAAATGTATCTAAATAACATACCTACACAAGAACATAAATACATAAAACAAGCGTATTCCTTGCAACATTATTTCTATTTATGCAAGAATTTCAAAACATTATACACCCATTCATATTACATTACTTTTTGTGTAGTAAATCTTCATGTACTGACATGAAATGATACCCTAATGTTTGGTTATGTTTTGTATTATTTTGTCTTGTTTAGAGACAGGATCTCACTCTGCCATCCAGGCTGGCATGTAGTGATATAATCATAGTTCACTACAGTCTCAA